TAATTTGCACGGCGCTCGGTCCAGGACCACCATATGGCAAAGAGCCGCCTTCCATCTGGGTAAGTGTTGCGACGTTTTCAGGCGACTGTGCGGCGCTGGGGCCACAGCCCCATTTTGACAAGGACCCCCCCCTTCGTCCGTTTAGCTTTTGCCAGCTTTTGAAGCGAACCTGCGCGATGCCAAGGCGAGGGCAACATCTTGAAACCCCCTGGTGCTCTGTCACTGTGGCTGTCGCAAGCTTCTGAAACGAATGTGCGTGGCGCCAATGCCGGAGCCGCACCTTGCCCCCCCCCCCCCCTCCATCCGTGCAAATGGTGCAAACTTGTAAGACGAAGGCGCGCGGCGCGCAGGCCACACACCGCCCGAGTAGTTGTGGCGCATGTTGACGCGCCAGGGCCAGGCGTGGCGACATGGGACAGTTCATGCTTACATGGGGGGCAAAAAACTGGGGGAGAGATAAATCATTGAGGTGGGAGAGAATGGATTATGGAGGGGGAGAAGGGGGAGGAGGGAGAGGAGGAGGAGGAAGCGGAGGAGGATGGAGGATGGGGGGGGGGGTCAGGGTCGAACTCTTCCCTGCGAAACTCACTTTTCTCATTCTTCTTTACCTCCGCCCGCTTCGCGCTCCGCTCCCTCTCTGACCTCCATCCTTCCCCCTCGCACTCTCTTTCTCTCTCTCCCTCTTTCTCCCGCGCTCGCACCCTCAGCCTGGGGCTCGGGACCTGGGCGCTCGAGGTCTCTCTGCAGCCTACGAGGGACTTGACTCCCAGGCCATTGGTGGTACTGGGGGGGGAGGGGGATCGTAGAAGAACATCCAGCGAGAACAGTTGTGGTTGCTGTGGATTGTTTGGCCACCCCCAGACACACACCCGACCACCAGGAGCGCTCGCCTCGGGGCAGGGCCCGGGGGGTGCTCTGAAGGGGGCCAGAAGGCCACCTTGGGGGGATTCCTTCAGTGAGTGCCCTCTTGGCAAGGCCCCGGCAGTACCGACTCCTTGCTACCACCTCCTTTAGTCATGGCCCCGTTGAGGAGGCTGCGCGTTCTTCAGGAAGGGTACTTGGATTATGGACTCCTGAGTACGGATGTTTCAGTCAGGCCTCCTTAGTGGGGATGTTTCTTCGCACGGCTGCCTTCAGCTGGGGACCCCCTATAGTACGGATTCTTGTGTGGTGTTTCTTTTCGTACGCGTTCCTTCCGATGGATGCATTTGGTAAAAGGGGTCCTGAGTGAGTTGAGGATACACTTCGTAAGGCTCCCTTCAGTAAGGGTTCAGTGCCCCTGCTTCCCCTAGCATAGCCCCCTGAATAGACATGCCTGTAGTAAGGGATCCTCAGTCGCAGTGATACCAGCAAGGCATCCTTGGGGCTGGTTCCCTTAGTAAGTGTCCTTTTCGGTACGGCCCATGTAACCGTGACCCTCTACTACTACTACTACTACTACTACTACTACTACTACTACTACTACTACTACTACTACTACTACTACTACTACTACTACTACACCACTACTACTACTACTACTACTACTACTACTACTACTACTACTACTACTACTACTACTACTACTACTACTACTACTCTTACTACTACTCTTACTACGACTACTACGACTACTACTACTACTACTACTACTACTACTACTACTACTACTACTACTACTACTACTACTACTACTGCTACTACTACTACTGTTACTACTACTACTACTACTATCTACTACTACTACTACTACTACTACTACTACTACTACTACTACTACGACTGCTACTACGCCTACTACGACTACTACTAATACGACGACTACTACTACTATTACAACTACTACTTCTACTTCCACTACTATTCGTACTACTACTACTTCTTCTACTACTACTACTACTACTACGACCACTACTACTCCTACTACTACTACTACTACTACTACTACTACTACTACTACTACTACTACTACTACTACTACTACTACGACGACTTCCATTACTACCACTACTACCACTATCATTACTACTACTACTACTGTTGCTACTACTACTGCTCCAACTACTACTGCTGCTGCTACTACTACTACTACTACTACGACTACTACTACTACTACTACTACTACTACTACGACTACCACTACTACGAGTACTGCTGTACTAGTAATACCTATAGTATTTCCGCTACTACTACTACTACTACTACCACTGCTGATACGACTATTGCTTCTGCCACTGCTACTACTACTGCTGCTAGTACTACTTCCACTACGACTACTGTTGCTACTACTGCTACCACTTCTACGATTAATACTACCACTACCACTACTACCACTACTACTACTACTACTACTACTACTACTATTACTACTACTACTACTACTTCTACTACTTCTACTACTTCTACTACTTCTACTACTTCTACTACTTCTACTTCTTTTAGTATTATTTTTACTGCTGCTACTACCTCTACTGCTAGTACAACTGTTACTGCTACTACTTCACTCAGGGCTGCGATTTTAAGAAGGATGTGGCTTCCTGTGCCAGTGTACCTTTTACCAGAGAGTTCTTAGTTCGGAAGCTTTTAGCGAGGCCTCCGTACCAGGATTTCTGATGTAAGGTTCTTTAATGTGAGGACACCCTGTAGTAAGGACTCTGTTGCCATTGTTGTCGTAAGCGGTCCTTTCTATGGATGCCTGCTACAAGGGGCCCTTGATAAGGGAAGGATGCCCAGCGTAATGTTCTCTTTCAGTAAGGGTCCCTGTAGTATTGATTCATTGCTCATGCGTCCTTAGGTAAGGGCCCATCGGTAGCAATGTCTGTGGCAAGAAGTCTTTGGCACCAGTGATGTTAGCATGGCATCCATAGGGATGATTCCTTTAGTGCGCGTCCTCCCGGTAAGGCCCCTGTAGTGGTGACACTTTACTACTGCTTCCTTTAGTGGCGACTCCTTATGAGGGATGCGGGCTCCTGAGCTAAGGTACCTTTACTAATGGATCTTTAGTACGGATGCTTTTATCGAGGCCTCCTTAGTGGGGATGCCTCCAGTACGTGTCCCCTGAGTAAGCACCCCCCGTAATAAGGACTGCTTTGTAGCGTTTCCTTTCGCAAGGCTTTCTCACTACGGATACTTTCTGTAATGGGTTTTGGGAACGCATTATGTTGCTGAATGCTCGTTTGCGAGGATGGGATGGTGGTGGTAGTGGGTAAGCAAAAAGAAGCACACCGTTGTCAACATGCGTGACAAGTTTTCTACCCCCCCCCCATGGCTACCACCATCACTGGATTTGGACTGCGGCACGGGTGCGGTCTTCGCTGAAGGACAGGACATAGGTCATGGCATTTAGGCATGCTTGTAGTGAGGAATGCGTTGTACAGATTTCTTCCTTTAGCACCTGTCATGCGAAAGAGTGCATGTTATCAAGGTATCGTTGAGACGGATCTGTGTAGTGGTGGATCCTTACGATTGTGGTTTAGTTCGCGTTCGTTAGTAAGGGGCCTTCATCAAGAGATTCTTAGTAAGGATTCCTTCAGTGAGTATATATTAGTGAGGATGCCTTTATAAAGATCCCCTCGGTAAGGATCTCTGGTGGAAGGGTTCACTGCTCATGCTTCCTTTAGTAGTGGGTTTTGGAGAAATATGCCATGATTAAGGGATCCTTGCTTATGGTGCTTGTAGTAATGCTTCCTTAGTGATGGTGCCTTTAGAAGGGGTCTATGCGGTAAGGGCACCTGTAGAAAGGGACTCAAGGGTTCTTTGGAGGAGCCCAGGGAAGTTTCTGGTTTTGCACTCAGCTTTGAAGTCGCCGCCTTCGGCGTAGTCGTCGTCGTGGCCGTCCTTAGGGAGGAGATTTTTGTTGTGGAAAGTTTTTTGGAGCACTGCACTGGGACTGTGGTCGCGCTAGAGGGCTCCGCCGAATAACCGAACCCGAAACGAAGTGGCGAACTCCTTGGGTCGCCGCATTCGCTCAGTCCAGAGGGTAGGGACGGAGGGGGTGGATACACATAGAGAGAGAGAGAGAGAGTGAGAAAATAAGAAGAGGGAAAGAGAGAGGAAGAGAGCGCAAGAGAGAGAAACGGAGAGCGGGGAAGGAACATCAAATGGTGCATTTCGCAGGGGGGGATTCGATCTTGGATCCGGATGGGGGATGGTGCTGAAGAAGGATGGGGGATTGTGCAGGAGGACGAGGAGGCGGAAGAGGAGGGAGTTGGCGTATGAGGAGGAGGAGGAGGAGGAGGAGGAGGAGGAGGAGGAGGACCAGTGTAAACACAACACTCATCAACGATCTTTAAATACACTCTCCCTCCAAGATCCCTCTTCACAGGCCCCTACAAGGGACCATTTCCACAGGGAGTTGCCCCGTTGGGCGACAACCGTGTGAACATCTTGAAGCGCGTAAAAACACCATACTCAGGATTTCAACGCAAAGAGGTAACCTGATTGTTACGTCTTGGCGATCCTGACTCGCGCCAGAACACCATTCCTGGGACTTCAACACTGCGAATCAACGTCACTGTTGCGCCCTGGCAGTCCTGGATCGTTCCAAAACACACCATGTATGATACGTTAACCATGCGAACCAGTGAAGCTCGTGTACATGTTCAACGAATGTGCGCGGCGCTAAGGCGAGAACCACATTTTGGAAACAAGCCGCCCTCAACCCGTGAAACTTCTGCAACTGTTTAACACGAGTGTGCACTGCGCCAAAGCGAGGGCCACATTTGAAAACCGCCCGCCCTCCATCTGTGCAACTGTTGCCAGTTCTTAAGCTCCAGGCTCACAAATCATGAGAAAGTCTCAGGCGAAACGCCAGGCCCGCCCTTTCGACCGTCCTCGGGGTGTGGCAGGGAGGAGTTATCTGTAAGGAAAAGGAATTGATGAGGATGAGGATGAGGAGGAGGAGGAGGAGGAGGAGGAGGAGAAAGAAGGAGGAGGACAATAGCTGTGATGTGGGCATGGGGGACGAGGAGGAGCAGCAGCAGGTCGAGGAGGAAGAGGCAATCCAGGATGGGCCGCTGGAGCCGTGCCGCCGGCGCAGGACAAGCCGACGCTGTCGCTGCAGGGCAAGCCAGCGGCCGTGCTGCCGGCGCCGCGCCGCAGGGTTCCCCCCGTCCCCCCCTCCCCCCCCCAGCTTCGGTAGTTCAAAGGTGGGGCCCTGAAGGATGGGGGTGGATCGGATAGGAAGGGCTCCAAGGGTGGATCGCGTCCGCAGGACCGCATCCCACAGGACACCACCCGAAACGCCGACCCCTCCGTCCCTCCTGAGGCTGGGGCGCTTGCCCGCGGGCTTTTGGTTGGCTGCGCAGGTGGTTCGCGTTCTGTGCTTCGTGCGCGTGCAGTTGTGATGTCGGGAGGGGGGAAACACACGGACACAAGTAATCGTCGATTCCCCAGAAATTATGGGAGATATGGGAAGTGGAGGGGGGGAGGGCGAACATCCAAAAGATTTGGGAACATGTAGGGGAACCTGGGACGTGTGTGTGTGTGTGTGTCCTCCTCATGATAGGCTGACGTTGGACCTTCGCTCCGATCCGATCCGATCCCTCCTCCGTCGACCCCCGCCCCCGTCCCCGTCTTCTCCTTTCTCTTTTCTCCTTTCCCCTTCCTCCTTTCCCCTTCCTCCTTTCCCCGCTCCCTCCCCCGCAGGGCCGCCTTTCTCCTTTCCCCGCTCCCCCCCCCGTCTTCCGTCCCCGCCCCCTGCTCGCTCCCACCCCGGGTGCCCCATCCCCGCTCCCCCTCGCCACGGCCTGCCGCCCTCCCCCCGAGATGGGAGCCGAGCGTCGGCGGGTTCCCTCCTCTCTCTCCTTTCCTTGGCATCGCTCGGACGTGTGCATTTTTTCTCGGCGAGGACCATCGAGGAGCATCTTTGATCATTCAGCGAACAATGCACGCACGAACTCGAAACATGCGCGGGGAACGCACGTCCGAGCGATGGCGAGTCTCGCCCGCTCTCGTGCACGCCGTGCTTCGCAAGACGCTCAAGAGCGTCCCGTGGCCACCCCCCTTTCCGAAGCCCGAGAACCATCACGTCACTAATTTGGGGCCCCAGGGCCCACTGAGGCCCCAGGGGCCCCAGATTAGTGAAGTGATGTTTTCCCCACGTAAGGACCCCGAAATTCATCACTTCACTAAACCGAGCCCAGGACGAAAGTCAGAGGCCGAATTGCTGCTGTGATGCAACATCGGTCTCGTACCCTTCGCCTCTGCTTCTCCTGCGGAGGCAGGCCGCGCAGGCTCAAGCTGCTGCCGCCTGGATTGCCGCGGCTCCGCTCCCGCTCACCACGTGCTCCGGCTCGCGCCTCCCGCTGCCGCCTGCAGGCCTCACGATCTATGATCAACGTCAGTGTTGCCATGCCTGATGCTACTCAGGAGGGGGAAAAACACACACAGACACAATTAATCCTCGATTCCCCAGAAAGCATGGGAAAATATCGGAAGTGGGGGGGGGGAAGACAGAAGCCCAGAACATATGGGAAAATATGGGGAATATTTTTGTTTGTGTGTATTTATTTGTGTGTCCTGAGGCCCCTTCAGATCTATGATCAATGTCAGTGTTGCCATGCCTGATGCTACAGATTCCTGGTGTAAGTACGTCTGGACTGCGCCGCATTTCAGTGACAAGGTGGTTCGCTCTCCTGGTGAGGCGGCGGCACGCAGCAGCTCCCGGGAGGCCCGACCGCCCTCCGCTGACCAAGGACGACGCCGCTGAGCTCCAAGTGGAGGGCCATCTCCCCCAGCACCGCCGTGCAAAGTTGCCAGCGTCACTACCGATGGAGGCGACAGGCAGAGCTGCCAGCAACACTTCCCAGCATGCGCTTCCTAGGCTCCAACCAAGCGCAAAAGGAGTCGTATCGTCAACCCCACGCGCACAGCTCGAAAAGGCGGCACAACGAGGCCGAATGTACCGCTGACACCGGGAGCGGTATCTAAAGAAGTCTGTCAATAACGGGCGCATGGCATCGGCTGAGCAGGTGATGCTCTGTGCGTAGCCACGCATCTCTCGGAGCACTACCATGCCCCCATCGACGAACGGCTTAACGGGCGGGTGGGAATTCCCTGGGGCGATCTCGAAAGCCTCTTGGGCCGTCTCGGGACTCCCTGTGCGTCCTTTCGGGCCTTCTTGAGGCGATCTCGGAGGCCTTCTTATCCGCCGAGGGGGCCCACGAGCTCGAACGCGCGAGCACGCCAACCGCCATTCAAACACCTAAGGACGCCCAGTGCTTCGGGCATCTTGTGGCCCTCCGTCTCTCTTGGGGCCCTCTTGGGGCGTCCTTTCGGCCTTGAGGGCCGTCTGGAGGGCGTGTTGGCCTCCTTGGGGCACTCTTGGGCCGACTCGGAGCCCCCTCACTCCAAATCTTATAATTGCGGGGGGGGGGTGTCAAACAAGTGTTTGACAGCGCGTCTGGGACCCCGCCCAAGAGCGGTGCACCCAACGGGCCCATCATCGAGACCCCCCCACGATCTTGTTTGACAAGGCCCGTTAGACCCCACAAAAAAGGTAGACCCCCCCATTATCATTCAGAGTTGTTTTATCGATCTCTATCCCCATCCCCATCCCGATCGTTGCCATCCCACCACCCCAGTTGGGGATATGTATCTCGCAACCCCAAGGGACCAGCCTACAGCCCCATCGAAGGGGGCAGATCGGCCTGTCGGGCCCAGGCGCACGCCCGTGCGGATAGGGATCGGTTCAACGATGCTCAATGATTTGATCCGGGGTGTTCTGTCTCGGGGGCCTCTTGGGGCTTTCTTGGGCCGGTCTTGGTGTCTCCCGGGCTCCACATGCACGCTCGCCGCCCCGAGAGTGGCGCGCCCCGCCCGACGAAGTCAGGCCCTTTGGGCCTCCTGGGCCCTTCGAAGAACACAACAATGTGCAGGTAGTGAGGGATCGAGTATGCCTGGTTTCATTGGAGGGGGCGGGTGAGGAGGAGGAGGATGAGGCCAAGGAGAGAGGAGGCGGACGAGGAGACGAGGAGGAGAGGGAGGGAGGAGGAGCTGGAGGAACGGGAGGACAGAGGAGGAGACGGAGGAGGCAAGACGTCCTCTCCTTCTACTCCCTCTGCTCGCCATCCATCCTCCTTCTCTTCCTCTTCCTCCTCGTCCTCCTCCCCCTTCCCCCACTCCTTCCTCCCATCGTTAATCCCTCTCCCTTTTATGCAACTCCTCTCCTTCGCACCACTAGACGTGTTCGTAGACTTGGCTGGGCGTTTCGCTGTATACCTCCTTGTACATCATCATCCTGCAATCTTCAAAGTGTCAACAGTTACAAGGGTGGAGGACCTGTCGTTTTCAAAACGTTGTTCTCGCCTTAGCGCCGTGCACATTCATCTTAACAGCTTCCGGCAGTTACTCGAATGTAGGGCCAGTCGTTTTCAAAAGGTGTCTCTCGCTACAGCGCCACGCACGTTCGTCTCGCACGTCTGCAGTAGTTACACGGATGGAGGCGGGCTCGTGTGCAAAATCGGGTTCTCGTTTGATATGCCTCACCACATGTGAATCCTCACCATCTTCTTTACAGCACATGTGTTGAGTTGTGCCATTCGTTGTGCGGATGGAGGACGGTTCCTTTTCAGAAAGGGGCTCTCACCATAGTTTCTACTTACAACAAGAGGAGCGACGCATTGTTCAACAGCTACATGGATGCAGGACGGTTGCTCTTGAAAGTGGGGCTGTCGTTTGGCACATTTTGAACATCACAGCACCCTTTGTCGCACTTCTCTTAGCTCCAAGGCTGGAGGGCGGCTTCTCGCAAAACGAAATTCCACCCGCATTGTGGGCTCATGGCATGGGTCGCTCCTCTTTCAAGGGGGCCGCTTCCCGCAGTGAAGAAGAATGTTCTTCGGGAATGAAGAGGAGGACGGGAGGGTGCATTGCGGCATCTTCGATGCACCTAGCGTTTATTATATTCGCCGTGGGAGTCGTGGTTCCAAATCGCTACACACGGAGATGTGTGGGGCGCCCACGGTATGCATATACGTACACATATCAGAACGAAAACACACATATATACATATATTGTCATACACATATGTGCATCTATGTGTATATACATGCACATGTGTTTGTATACATACATGCACACATACATACATACATACATACATACCTACCTACCTACCTACCTACCTACCTGCATACATACATACATACATACATACATACATACATACATACATACATACATAGATGCACACGTGTAACATGTGATGCGCATGACGCAGTGAGTCAGGTAGGTCGTGTCTTTTTCGCCCACACGTCTTTTCCAGGGCACGTTCGCCAGAAACGGTGCGCCAGCCACCCGACCGGGCCGGCGGTTTTCGATTTGCGACTGTAGGTGTCGTTCGTTCATTCGTTCATTCTGGTCCTCCCTCGTCACCGCCCCCCCCCAGTCTTCCCACCAGCCCACCTCCCAAGTAAGGATGTGCAGCGCGAAATCCGAAGGGAACAGCCTATATGATCCTTGCTCGAAAGTTCACCGGCTCCCCCCCCGATGGGATGGGTTCCAGGGTTCCACAGGCCCCCCCCCCTCCAGATGGGATGGGGGGACGATGACACCGACGCCGACGCCGAAGCCGAAGCCGACGCCGACGCCGCCGCCGCCGTCGACGCCGACGCCGACGCCGACGCCGACGCCGACGCCGCCGCCGCCGCCGACGACGACGACGACGACGACGACGACGAACCACCCCACACCCACAGGGGGAGGGCGGGGGGTGCACCAGCACCCTCAACAACGCCACGCCCACAGGACCCCGACCACAGGGGGGGGGGGAACAATCCCACTCGCGAGGCCTTCGCAAGGCTCACGGGCGAGGCCTTCGCGAGGCCCTCGGGGCTCGACCCTGTATGCATTGGGGGGGAGTGGTGCTGGGGCGACCCTGGATCATATATGAGCCAGGGTTCTGCGCCCCCCTCATGCGGATGCCTGTGGGCCCCCGTCCATCCGCACATCAGGTCCCCCCTCAGGGGCGTAGCGTGGTGGACCCGCCCCCTGGGTGCGCGGGGTTGTGCTGCGTCGTCGTCGTCGTCGTCGTCGTCGTCGTCGTCGTCGTCGTCGTCGTCCGTCGTCCGTCGTCCGTCGTCCGTCGTCCGTCGTCCGTCGTCCGTCGTCCGTCGTCCGTCGTCCGTCGTCATCGTCCGTCCGTTCGTCCTTCCGTCCGTCCGTCCGTGGGCCCGTGGGCCCGGAGCCCGGGATCCTGTGTCCCCATCCGAGATCTAGCCAGGGGGGGGGTAAAACCGGTCAGTGGGGTCCAGGCCATGCCGACGGGGATGGGGATCGGTCAAGAGATCCTCGGGGGAGTACCCTCGGCGCGGCGCGGGCGGCCGCCGCCGAGCGCGCGCTCGCGCGAGGCGTGGTCGCAGGCGCAGAGGGCCTGGTGCTGCGAGAACCGGGGCGTCGGGTGCACCACCACCACGCCGAAGTGCGGCGCCTTGTGCGGCTTGGGAGGGCGGTGGTCCATTTCGATCCGATACCGATCCGACCCGATATATCGATTCCGGCCATGGCCGAGCCGACTCGATTCGGTTTCGGTTTCCGACCCGATGCGGCCCGATGCTTGCATGCCGCTGCTGTGATTCCTGGCACGGCCGATCCGATTCGATTTCGATTCCGTGCCGATGCAGCCCGATCCGACAGGCATTCCGATTCGATCAAAGTTTTCGACTCGATGCTGATTGATCCTGGAGGGTGGTGGGGAGGCCTTCCTTCTCGCTCTGCCTTCCTCTGCCCTCCTCCCCCTTCTCTTGCCCCCCCACCCAACCGCCTGCACTCGAAGTCGGTGAGATTTGGTGTTGGGCCCTTCATCGTCCGCATCTCTCTTGCCCCCTACCCCTCTGCTCCTGCCCAACTCCCCTTCTGCCCCCACCTCCCCATCCCCCCTTCCCGATCCTCCCTCCTCCCCCATCCCCCCTCGTCGTCCTCCTCGTCCCCTCTCCTCGTTCTCCTCCCCCTCCTCGACTGAACCTGCGCATCCTGCCCCCGTTCCCCCCCCCTTCTCTTGAACAGGTCACGCGGTGACGTCTGTTTTTGTCGTGTTGAGCACCGTCCGTGACAGATGCCAGGCAACACAGGCCCCGCCCGCTTGGGCGGAGTCAACCTGCCACCCGCGCCAACGGCGAGGCGGAGTCGGGTGCCCCTTCTCCGACCTCCTCCCCCCTCCTCCCCCTGCCCCCCTCTTCCCCCCTTCTCCACCTCCCCCCCCTGGTGGCCCCCTTTGGTGATGATCCCCTCCTCCACCTGCCCCCCCCTGCTCCCCCTCCTCCACCTGCCCCCCCCTGCTCCCTCCTCCTCCTCTTCCTCCTCCCCCTCCCTGGAGGCCCCCTTTGGCCACAGCCTCAGCGGCCTGCTGCTGCCGCATTCTTTCGCCGTCAATTGCTTGTCCTCAGACGATTGCGCGCTGCCTCGTGCCCTCGTGCCCTCCCTCCTCCCTCCTCCTCCTCCTCGTCCTCATCCTCGTCGTCGTCGTCGTCGTCCTCCTCCTCCTCCTCACTCCTCGTCCTCCTCCTCGTCCTCCTCGTCCTCCACATCCTCCTCCTCCTCCTCCACCTCCACCTCCTCCTCCTCCTCCTCCTCCTCCTCCTCCTCCTCCTCCTCCTCCTCCTCCTCCCGACGACTGCCAGCAGAAGCATCCAAAGATGCTATCGCGATTCGGGAAAAGATCCGACCACTCATCTGAGCGAAGCGGACAGTTTGTCAGTCAATACCCGGGAGGGCACATAGGCGAAACGAGGTGTGCCTATTGGCACGCTCGCGAGCATTCGTATTTTTCCCCACATCCAAAGTGGGGTTCTTGTTTTCTCTGGACACCTCGCGCAGGAGCCTCACCTCACCTCCCACCCCTCTCCCCTTCACTCACCGTCATCATCATCATCATCATCATCATCATCATCATCATCATCATCATCATCATCATCATCATCATCATCATCATCACCACTCATCCTCACTACGCATCCTCATCCTCATCATTTGTCGGTCGGTCGCACGTCGTCGGGGGAGACGGGAGAGTAGTATCCTCATCCTCATCATCGCCACCATCAGCATCATCACAGTCATTCACACCCATACCATGTTCATCCCCATCATCAACAACATCCTCATCATTCGATCCATCATCATCATCATCATCATCATCATTATCATTACCATTATCATCCTTAGCAACATCATCATCATCTGGTCACTCATCATCATCATCACTCATCATCATCAGCATCATCGTCGTCACCACTCGCTCACTCATCACTTCGTCACCACTCACTCCCTAGCTTGAATATGGGGGACGGCTCGAGCGGGAGCCTCGTGTGTGAGTGAATTGCGGGGACGTCTCAGGCGGGAACCCCTCTCCTAATGCGGCCCGCACCTCATCTTTATAATCCGAGCGGGTCATCTGGATCCTGTAATTGTCGTCACTTTTGGGCTCCTCAGACCTGAGTATGGGGGAAGTATCAGGCGGGAGCCTCGTCTGTGAGTGAGTTGCGAGGAAGTCTCAGGCGGGAACCTTCTCCCTATCGGGCCCGCACCTCATCTTTTTAATCCGAGCAGGCCATCGGAACCCTGTAACTGTCGTCACTTTTGGGGTGCTGAGGCCTGAATGTCTCAGGCGGAAGCCCTCTCCCTATGGGGCCCGCACTTCATCTTTTTAATCCGAGCGGGTCATCGGAGCCCTGTAGTTGTCGTCACTTTTGGGCCCCTCAGGCTTGAGTATTGAGGAAGTCTCACTCGGAATCCTCGTCTATGAGTGAATGTCGAGGAAGTCGCAGGCGGGAATCCCCTCCCTATGGAGCCCGAACCTCATGTTGGTAACCTGAGCGGATCATCGGTAACCTGTAGTTGTTGTTCCCAACCATCCTGTGGTGCTGGGTCCTCGTTTTGAAGAAACGGTCCCCGCGTCTCCTCCTCTTCTCCTCCTCCTCTCCTCCTCCTCCTCCTCCTCCTCCTCCTCCTCCTCCTCCTCCTCCCACCATCATCATCGTCATCACCCATTTCGGCACACCCCTCACACGTTTCGTGGCCCCATAGGGAGCTCCACCGAAGGTCCCAGTGGGTGTGCCCGCATGCGTCCCGCACACCCATTTCGGCACACCCCTCACACGTTTCGTGGCCCCATAGGGAGCTCCACCGAAGGTCCCAGTGGGTGTGCCCGCATGCGTCCCGCACACCCATTTCGGCCCACCCCTCGCATGGCCCCATAGGGAGCTCCACCGGTCCCACGCCCGTCCCGCATTTCGGTTTCGTGGCCCCATAGGGAGCTCCACCGAAGGTCCCAGTGGGTGGGCCCGCATGCGTCCCGCACACCCATTTCGGTACACCCTTCACACGTTTCGTGGCCCCATAGGGAGCTCCACAGAAGGTCCCAGTGGGTGTGCCCGCATGCGTCCCGCACACCCATTTCGGCACACCCCTCACACGTTTCGTGCCCCAGAGGGGGCTCCACCGAAGGTCCCAGAGGGTGTGCCCGCATGCGTCCCGCACACACATCTCGGTACACCCGTCACACGTTTCGTGGCCCCATAGGGAGCTCCACAGACGGTCCCAGTGGGTGTGCCCGCACACCCATTTTGGCACACCCTTCACACGTTTCGTGGCCCCATAGGGAGCTCCACAGAAGGTCCCAGTGGGTGTGCCCGCATGCGTCTCGCACACCCATTTCGGCACACCCCTCACACGTTTCGTGGCCCCATAGGGAGCTCCACCGAAGGTCTCAGTGGGTGTGCCCGCATGCGTCCCGCACACCCATTTCGGACCACCCATCACACGGTTCGTGGCCCCATAGGGAGCTCCACCGAAGGTCCCAGTGGGTGTGCCCTCATGCGCCCCGCACGCCCATTTCGGTACACCCTTCACACGTTTCGTG